CGGAATACGGAACAAACTTAATAATATTTCAAGATCACACTCTCTATAACAAATTTTTTTTTCTGAATCTTACTGATTTCGAACCTTCCCCAACGAAGGGGACCGATGGCTGGCCGTGCCGTCAATCAAAACATTGTTTTTCGTTTTTCTCAAAATTAGTTTTTTTGAGCAAAGTGTTTACTCGAGCAAACCTTACTCAATCACGACTCAATATAAAAGTGGTAATATTTTCTTGTAATACAGTATATACCTGGGGCTAAACCCTAATAGAGCCCGATTTTTGAATTTCTCCTTGGTTTAAATAAAAAACTTAGATCTTTGATTTTAAGCCCCCCACCATCAGAATCGATTTACCACTTAGGGTCATCCGTTTTGATTGAAATTTTCAGGGATGAGTGGCCTTTGTGAGAAACGCTTCTGATAAAAATTTAAGCCGTATAGATCAAACTATAACGGATTTCCAGCTAATTCATTGACCATTTTTTGGGCTTCAGAAGAAACATTATAACTTCATTGCTACAAGAGATACAGAGTTCGGGGTGGTTTCAAATTAAAGCCCATGTCAGCGCACAGTTTTTATCTAAACAGAATTTTGAAATTCTTTATGATTCGTTTTTATTACTATTTTAGTAAACATGTCTTAAAATCAGTATGAAAAACAGTGATCCAACGACAGTAAATCCCACTTTTCTCAACACAGGAATTAAATATAAAAAATCCGTTCAGACAAAAGTTTACTCTAATCGGAACTTTTAAAACAAAAAAATATTGGGTATATCTTGAACTGGGTGAGAGTTATTTCCATTTTTCTGTCTGAAAACAAGGTTTTCACCAAAACGATAAATAAGTTTAGAAATCGATTTTTTCATTCCAAACCAGAAGAAAACCGTATTTACAGAGCATTTTTTACAATATGTCTGTGAAATTTTTCAATGCACATAATTAATGATATAAACTACTGCCATTGGTCATATTTAAATAAACAGAACGATTTATTCAATGATAAGATAAATAAAAAAAAAACAGTTTTCTCCAAACTGGAAAATTCTTAAAAGACCGCGAAAATTTCTGAAAAAAATACGATAGTTAAGTCACAGTTTGTTTTGAAAGTCTGTTAAAATTTGATCTTTTTGAGAAAAGCGACATATATGCTGCAAGAGGAAATTTCGCTGTATCTTTATATGGCAAAACATCCACTTCGAGCTTTTGCAGAAAAAATGGATTTTTTGAAGGGGGAGGAGTGCCTTAATTAGCGATTTTTGGCCACGAATTTGAGAATTTTTCGAAAAAGTTTTGTTTTAACGGTGAATAAAGGGAAATTAGAAAATCGAACTCTATTCGGATCTAGCCCTACATGTACCCTAAAGTTTTTAAACTACTCCGACATGCTTAGCTAAAGTTCTCATGGTGAAAACCTTGCCCACGTAAAGGCTATTTTTTACCAGTGAATTGACTATAGCTCGTGAATGTCTAGCAGATTTGGAAAAATATTTTAACCATAATCTACTTTTGCCAAGACTAACATTCTCTGAAATTTTGGTTGAACGCCAGTGAAAAATAAAAAAGTTCGTTTGTGAGGGAGGCCCTTAATAGCTCAATGTTAGGGGACCAGTACTGATTTGCCACTCCTATTTCAAACATCGCTTATACTATAACCATTCATTGGACTATTCGTATTATTTTTCTGGTTTTTGCATAATACTGTGACATTACATAAAAATGTCATCGCTCTTCAAGTCATCTAAGCTTATGAAAGCCAAAAAATGTGCAAAGTGTAACAAAAAAGTATCGTCAGCTGAAGAACTAACAAGTAATGAGAAAACATTTCGCAAAATATGTTTAAAATATGGTATGTATTGGCTACTCTGCATTGAGAAAATGATAGAATATGATGAATCCTACTGTAATTTAAAAACTTTCGATTCTTGCAAGAAAAATCTGGAGAAACCTGATATTATTGAGAACGATGGTAAGATTTATTGTCACGGATGTCAAGGGGAAAAGTCAACATGTGTTCCTCAAGGGAATGAAAAAAGTCCAACTCAAATGTAAGACTGCAAATAGAATAGATTTTTTTCTAACTATATACAGTATAATTAGTCTGCATTAGTAGTAACATGGCATGTCAAATTTCGGAACATCCAGCCAAGATAATAGCAAATGCTAGTATTGCACCTGATGATAAAATAAAATTGGTATTATCTGAACAAATGAACAAATGGATCAATCTGGAAATATTTTTACTTATATGATTTGATGTCAACGTTCATATAACAAAAGACAATATCGATTCACAAGTGAAACTGAGAGAAGCAATCATTTTTTTTACAAATATTTGATAAAGCAGACGAATGTGAAGAAATTATAAAAAGTACCGTGACTGAAAAAGTGGTGTTCATCGCATCAGGAAGACTTAGACGGGAGATTGTACCACGTTTGCATGATTTATCGCAACTGAATTGTGTTTATGTCTATTGCTTTGATAAGGCTGGTAGCAAACAATGGTCTGATAAGTATCCAAAGGTATTCATGATAGTAAATATTAATTAACTTATTCATTATTTCTTACAGGTAAAAGGTGTACATACTGATCTAGACGAACTTATTGAGCTCATCACAAAAGATCAGGAAATAAGAGCAAAAGTAGAAGATGCAGCGGTGATATCGATTTTTAACCGATCTGACAAGGAATATACACATAAAAATCTTAAACCTTGAAATGAATCATTTGTGTGGTTTCAATTGCTTGTTGAAGTATTAGATGGCATGCAATACAGCTTAACATAAAAAAAAAGAACTACTTGATATTTGGAAAAAATAATATCAGAACAATTTAAAAGAACTTGCCATTATTGACAAAATTTGAAGAATATTATGATAGCTCGAATGCTATTTGGTGGTATACGAGAGAAAGTTGTTTATATAGGCTTCTTAACAAAGCTTTACGAATTCAAAATATAGATATATAATTTGACTTTCGTTTCTTTATTAAAGATATGTTTAAAAACCTTCGAAAAGAACATAAAAAATTCACACGGTCAGTGACTGATCGGTTTATTCGAGTATATCGAGAACAAATAATTTCTGCATACGAATTCGACCGAATGCACAAAAGTATTGGAGAGTTTATTTCGATAAATTTGTTCTTCTGAACTAGCCGAAATTGAAAACAGGCTCTAGGATTTATCAACGGCGTAGGACCTTTTGATGGAGTACGACAAGTTTTATTTGATATTCAGGTCGATATTCACATATCAACAAAGCCCTTCGTCGATTTGGCAAAACCGAGTTATTTTCAAGAGGAAGAAGAAATTATCTTTATGCTTGGTTCAGTTTTTAGAATTACTGATGTTACTTATAGAAAACACGAACGTGTTTGGATTGCCAAATTGGTGTTGGGCAATGAAAATGATCATGATTTGAGAGATTTATTTGCTTATCACAAAGAGGAAATAGGCGTAGACTTAACAAATATTGTTTTGTTGGGAGATATTTTATTTAAAATGGGAGAGTTTCACAAAGTAAAACAATACTACAATCGTATTCTAGCTGAATCATCAATAGTAGACCTACGTACGACCAATTGCTATTTCGAATTAGATAACGTTGCAATCGAACAGGATGGATATTCCGATGCACTCGCTTATCATCCTAAAGTTTTGGATGCAAAACAAAATTTTTTAGATGAAGAAAATGCAAACGTAGCGTTCAGTTATAACCAAATCGGAGCGACATACAGACGATTAGGTATCTATGATCAAGCTCTCGAGTACACAAGTATAGGTCTAAAATTGAGACTGAAATGTCTTGATAGCAATGATGTTGATTTACCACAAAGTTATCGTGATATCGGACTTGTCTATTATCGACTGAGCGAAAAAAATCTAGTGTTGATAAACTTCACGAAAGCACATGAAATTTATGTTAAAGCTTTACTAGAAAATCATCCAGATATTGGAGTCATATCCAAGGCTCTTGGTGGTGTTTTCTACGAAAAAGGCGACTTTAATACTGCACTTCACTATTTTAGCCAAGCACTCACAATCTTCCGCAAGTCTTTGCCACCATCTCACACATTTACAAAAGGAGCTGATGTAATGATTGAACGCGCACAATTCATGCTATTGATAACACCGCAGCAAGCAGACTAAGTCTTGCGTGACTATTATTCCGTCACAGAAAACGTGATTTATATGCTATTCAGTAAAAGAAGAAAGATAAGGACTACTTTTTCTCTTGTAATTTTTTTTTGCTGCAAATCATTCGCAGACAGAGGATTGAAATCTGGCAAGACTGTATGTACTAACGAAATTAGACGTTAGATACTAAAGCTACTTAGCGTTACGGCATTTTTTGACTCGCATGTGAGTGGACATGGTTTTGAATGTGGATGCTACGCATAAGTCTGCATTTGGTGTTTTGGTGTGCAGTTCTAGTAGACGTGAGCATGTGAAGTGTGACTTTGAGGTTTGGTCTTACATGTTTGGGTGTGCACTTACTGCTTGCCTGTGATTGTTGAATTTGGGTGTGGTTTGGTTATGAGCGGAGATGCGTATGTGTGGTTGCGGGTGTAGAGTTTAGGTGCGAATGTGAGCTAATAGTTTGGCCGTTACTGTGAAATTCAGGCGTCTTGGTGGGTGTCAATATGGGCGGGTGTGAATTAAGAAAATATAGTCGTCGATCCACCGACACCAAATACCACACTAACATGCCTGCATTCACATCCACATCCTCTTTTTTGTCTAAATCTTATGGTGTCAGTCAGGAAGGGTTCTTCTTTCTAACTAGTCATACAATCTCCACATATAGAATTAACAATTTCAAATCATCAACCAATATTCTTTTATACGAATAATGTATTCATTCTTATTTGGTTTGGTTTTGATAGGAATACCCAATTAGTGAACATCGATCAGCCGCATATCATCAGCTAACATCTCATGAAACCCTAAAGCGAATAGAAATGTTGGTAGTACATTGACCAAAAGCCGAATGTTCATTATCCGGTACTTGTTGTTAATAGAAATGAAAATCAAGTTTTGCACAATAAACACTTGCTCTTGCGAAAGGGCTTCAACAACAGCATCAGATGTGGATGTGGATGCGTATATCCCATTGTTACATCCGCATCCACTCACACCTGCATCCACACCTATGACCATACTTCGACACCCAAACCCACACCAACTTTCACACACCTACACCCAAGGATGTGAGTGTGAGTGAAATTGCTCATTCCACCCAGAATCCCCCCAAAACCAAACTTGCACTCACACCCACGCCTTTTTTATGACTGAAAATTTATATTTCTTATCTGTACTTAAAAATGCAATACAGAGTCCTGATGAGCATTTGAATCTTTTTTAAATGACTTCAACTACGTCGACGAACTTAAGTCTGCATCCCTTTATTCATTTTAATCAAAGCATATTTATTTAATATTCTCTTGTCATTTAATTTTCGACAGAAAAACGATTGCTGACAAGCAAATGTTGCGACGAACAGATTAGGTTTGTCTTTTTATTAAGAGATAGGTTGATCTGTTTTTCAATGTAAATCAATATTGAAACATGTTTTCGAAAGATCCAAAAAGACTTTTAACGTAGTGATATTCGAGTCGATCAACGTTGCTAAGTCGTCGAATTGTTTTCGAGAAGAAAAAACTTTTATTTGATTTTCAGAATGATTTTCATCAGCAATCGAATTCCCGGAACTAGGTATGCACCAGTGCCAGTGTAGAACTGGGGACTGGGTACCAGTCGGACTGGGTCACCCAGTCGGACTGGGTACCCAGTCCGACTGGTACCCCAGTCCGACTGGGTCACCCAGTCCGACTGGTACCCAGTCCGACTGGGGTACCAGTCCGACTGGTACCCAGTCCGACTGGGTGACCCAGTCGGACTGGGTATCTATATAAC